AGATCACTGCTTTCCTTGAGTTTGTAGGTAGACATGTCTCTGTGCGCTCCATTCGGCGGGCACTTCTCCGGTGGATTTACCAACTGATTCGGCGCGTGCACAGCTGTCTTGTGATCCCAGAGTACCTCTGTTGGTGCTGCAAATACCTCAGCACCCTTCTGTAGGGATGCCTGGTCTGAGTATTCACATGCCTCCATGCCGTTCGAGGCAGCTTGAGGTGGCTCGGAGGAAAGCGGCGACTGCATTCCTCGCCGCCGCTCCATGTTAGTCTTCTTTGACTCAGACCAGTCTCCAGACCAATCATTAACAGCAGCAACGTAACGTCCATAGCCACCAAAAGCTGCGTGTTCCTGTTGCTTAAACGCAGTGGAAGGCTGACTCGCAATAGTAACCGTCACGCGCGACAAAACATACCGCGACCTCCACCAGCCGTTGCAGGCACGGCCTAGCCGAGCTTGACACTGCTTACAGCCCGAGCCACCGACTGTCATGGTTGGTAGTTCCTTGCACAGATCTGGCGGGCTACTCAGCGTACTGACACGACTTAGTTCCGAAGCAACTGCACGCACTTCTCCGCTATTGGAGCAATAGTAAAGCGTGAGAGCTTCCCAGTTTTCCCGCACAACGAACACAACGCCCCTTGACTGTTCGTTCCCTTTCAACGCGGCACTGTTCGTCTCGTCGAGCGGTCTCTTCTTCACTAGTCTCTCACCTCGCACAGTACCACCCAATTCCCGTCGGCAATCTTCAATAATGCGATGCACTTGCTTCCATTTCCCCTCAATATCTCCATGGGCTGACGGAATAGTGAAAAAATGGCCTTCCTCGGCACCCCTGCCACATGACTCTTTCGGGAGGGATAAGCAAGTCTTCGACTTCTCAGTAGAGCAACTGGTACTGGTTGCTGCATGAGCGGTGCAAACGAACCCGCCGCCAGCTCCAGTTCCACTCTTGCTTAGAAGCTCACCGCTCGGGCTACTCCTTCCACAGTTGTTCTCACCACCGTCGATGTGGCACATCTCCGAGGAGCTTATTGTAGCTACGGTGTCATGATACAAGCTTTCAATAGAACTCTTCATCTGCAAGGCTACGGACTCCTGCCGAGCTAGTGGGAGTGACGGCCGCACCAATGTCTCCCTCACTGGCAGCATGCTCCCCGTTAACGCGTCACTGGCATCGTGGCTCCCCTTTGCTGTTGCTTGGTCCTGCATCCGCACCAATTTGCCGTTACTCCGACAGCACGCCGTTGCACAGTGCAAGTACTTCGCGTCTGCAGTGGGTTGATCCACCCGCCGCTGCACTCCGCCGATCCTCGTTTGAGGCCTTTGGTGTGAAGCCGATGAAGCATCGGCTGTTGCATGCTTTGCAGCAACGCCAAACTTCATGCTCTCCACCACAGGTCTCCAAGTCTCCACCGTCAGTCCCTGCGCCTTGCGTCCATCAGTTCCGTGAGCCGGTTCATCCTCGCTGCACTGAAAGATCCCCATCCCTTTCTTTCCAGTGACCTCCTTCCCCTGCACCGACATCGCCTTCACACAAAATCGAATACAATTAGCAGCCACTTCATGTTAGGTCCGGCATCAAAAGAGCGTGGAGATGGACAAGCAAATTTCTATATCCTATAGTTCCTACTTACCCGCAGATGAGACCTCTCGCCCACTGAAACAGCCACTGCATTTGTTCCGTTTGTTGCACAGCTTGTGGGGCCCACTCTGTAGCTTCCGCATGTCCCCTGTGTTTCACACCCAAATCCACTGATGGCATCCGCGCCACCCACAGCCCCACCACCATACACCGCATCCCTGCTTGTACGCATTTGTTGCAGAATGGTCTCAAGAAGTACTGTCTTCGGATCGCCTCCTGCCGCATCAGCCGCCTCTTCCACGAAGTGCCCCGCATCCTGGAGAACGCCCTCTCCATACAGCTGTCCGGGAGTTTGCGACTCAATTAAACTTGGCTCACCGAAAACGGGTAGCCCCAGATGGGTCCCACCGGAAAATAAAAAGCCAGAATCGCAGAAATTCCCATCATCTGTACTCCCGGGACATTCTTGGGAGGCATTCGCCGTCTTCAAAGTGGACATGTCCCGCCTAGCAGCTGCACGCTTCCAGCCCAGCTGCTGCAGTCTGCTTTTTCCCTTGGTCCCACTGACCATCTTCATCGCTACCGCCCTATGGCCGTTACAACGCCTCTGCGGGGGTGAAACGACCATCCTGGCTTACGCAGAGTTACGGTGAAGAGCACCACCCCGGAAAGGACAGCTGTCCAATGAATGAATACAAAAAAAACCTCTTTTTGAGTGAATTCGTTACTACCCACCAACTGCAAGTCGCCGCGACTCTTCGCCTACCGTCGATGAGAGATGTGATTGCCTGGCCCCCAGCTCTACGACGCTGCACAGCAACCGACGACCAGAATAGCCCTAGACTCAAGCTAACTGCCAGGCCCTTCTGATCAAAGCCATGCTCTGCAACTAGACTAGAACCCAATCAGCACACCCCCCGAGATCGGCGAAGAGACCACGGATGGCCGCCTCGACCAAACCGCAAAACGGGCGAATTTTCCGCCACTTCACCCGTCCATTAGAAAAGCCAATGCAACAATAAAATTATAGATTAACACACAGCTATAACGCTGTTTACCACCCTACAGAAAGATGATACGCCTTCAAAAGCCTGCACGCATGGGCGCACGGTGACGCCGAGGGAGGGGAGGAGGACGTGACATGCGATGCTGCGAAGTACTCCACAACGTCCCTGTCTTCAGGAAGAAAAAAAGGCTGCATACACACAAACTTCAATATGTCCGTACTGAGCCAAGAAGTCCCGCAAAGGATTCGCACAAAATCGCTACACACCGATGCGCCCCCGGAAAAGCCGGAGCTGGGACAGTTCTGTTGAGGTGACGAGGCCAGGTCGGGTCCGGCACTTTGTTGAATTATTGACTCGTGTGTACAGTTGTGTCGTATAGTCATCGTCGCTATACGAACACCTATGTGCGAAATGTCCTGGAAAGCAGGGCACAGCCTGCCACAGGTCTAGGGACCGCCGAGATGACGCCTAACTGCAATTCCACTGCAGCAACCACACGCTAACCACTCTTTGGGACGAGGCACACACCATTGTGTGCCACATAAAAACACAAAAAAACGACTGATGGGCCAGAGAAGTAAGCAGAAGCTGCATAAGCGGTCGAGTGCAGCTACTGTGTCTTGGAGAGGCTACCCAACAGCGATGGTGTGCAAGTGGGGGAAGGTCATTGACCTAGTGGACTCAGCCATCTTCCACCGTAGGGTGCTCCACCAAAAATTCCTTACATTCGGAAAATTTAAAGTTATGCTAAAATTAACAAAACTTCTTCTCCAAAGGCTCTAGCTACACTTCAGCGTGAGAAACGCGATCTGGGGACGCATCGATGCGGCGTGAATCTTCCATGAGACGGCACCTGCTCTATAGAGAGATGGAAAGGGAATTTCTTTGATTTTTTAATGCACGAAGGAATCCAAAATAGCAGTTTTTAGTAACCACGAAGAGTCAGCCCTGTAATGCAAGGGGGTCACTGGACTTCTCGCCCATCCTCGTGACGTACGGATGCACCATTGTATTTAACACAGTTGACACAATACTTGAGTCCCTACTTAGCCCTATCCCTCTCCCGCGTGGAAGTTCCTGCAAGGGGTCTGACTGCTTCCTTTGCAGAGCCATAACAGAGGCGGGAGGACCTCGCCGTCCGTGGAGCCAAATGGGCTTGCACGTCGATCCTACCAGTCTGGTCGTGCCGCTGTAGAAGCAGAATGAACTTGCAGTTTTTTTAACCTCAGTTCACTTTGTAGATCTAGCCACTCACTGAATGTGACCTTCGGGGGGAAGCACCACACTGACGCCTGCGGCGTTGTGGACCCGCTGTGCTGTCAGCCCACTGGTTAGTCTCTGGAGGACTCGAACATATCTACGCGAAAAAAGAAACAACGGCCAGCAGCCAAAACCAGAGCGCATACTGGCACTGTGCAACGTGTGAGCTACTACCCTGTACTAGATGGTAAATAAGCGGCAGCTGCCGGCAGTGAACCCTGACACGCACGGTGCCACGTTTGCCGTGACGTATTGTCAAGTTAACCTTACGCTGCTAGCCGTCTGCCGCCAATCGCGCCTACTACAGTAAGTCTGGCCCGCCAACCTCAACAGAGGCCACCTCACAAGTCAGCCAAACCCGCATCCCTCTCGCAAGAGGCTGTGCAGGATGTTCAAAGATTCAAGAACTATAAGAGCTACAAATCTACGGGACTGCACGAACTGGTCAGCAGCCTACAGTCTGTTCGTCAGACGCAACTGCGCCCTCTACAAGAACCGATGCGTAACAACAATTTCACTCAAATGCCCATCAGGCCAGGTTACCCATGTGGAAGCAACATTGGCAAGACGAAGTAAAAATGAGCAACCCGGCACCAAATATGGTTTTTGCAAGGTAAGCATCCATAGCTTACAACAAGCTCTTTGTGGGACCATATTCATGTTCTAGTTAGGCACTGACCTGCATGAAATTTATTCAGCAAACGAATCCCCCATTCGCTGCGACCTCTACCTGCCGTAGAATAAACCTGCATCTACCGCTGCGGGGAACCTGCCCTTTCCCCGCTACCTTCCTCCCGTGAGAGCTGCCACACGGCAACTTCGCAGTGAGTGCACGTTGTGTATGCATGTGTGTGTGTACATGTGTACATGTGGCTGGGTGGATGTGAGGAAGTGCGTTTGTGTGGCCAAAAAAATGCCGGACACCCAAATTCCAAAAGGAGCAATGGCGAAAGGTGTGTAACAGTGGGCGTCATGAAGCACAATGAAAGCCGTGTAAACCTCCTGTGCGCCGCTGCTCCGCGAATGGGAAAATGCCAAAATAATGCATGCATTCGTCTCCGGAAGCCAACATCAAAGCAAGCGACACGTCTTTGCGTCACTCTGCTTGAACCTTTTCCAGATCAACACTGCACGTTTTCAAGCAGTCCTTCAGGATGCCTGCTGAGTGTCACTCTCTGTGGCGCTGCTTCCTTGCTCTGCAGCAGCTGCTTCCTGCTGGGTTTCTGCAACCTCCTGGGCTTCTGCTTCCTGCTGGGCTCCTGCGCTCTGCTGGGCGTCCTGCGCTGCGTTTTCTCCATCTGCAGGCAACGGAGAAGCTGCCGATGAAGGAGGCCGAGTCAGCGAGATCAACTCTGGGTCAGCTGCGTCACACATGCCATCCTTGACAGTTACGAGGTCAGCTGATGTCGAGCCATAAACCCTGAGGGAGCTTGGTCCACAGTCGCTCAAGTTCACGGAGAGGTCGCGCCCGCCCAAGCTGCTGCCAACGACCACGGAATTTTCTTTCCAAGAGCCCTTTCCAGTTGCAGCATCCCTGCAGAGAGAACAGAAGTCATTATACTTGAAATTCCACGAAGCGCCTCTCCGGCTACACAAAGATTCACCTGCCAACGAAAATACACCGGCACGACAACGCTGCAACTCAAAGAGGGCGAACTTACGTAGATATCCATGCAAGAACACGGACTTCTACTTCCTTTTGGTTCTTCTGTGTAATGATTATCATGAGTGGCGTGGTCGGTCCAGCTGCTGTTTCCAGGGGAACCTCCGTAGGCTCGCTTTCATCACTTCCGTACAGCAAAACAGCCGACTGCGGAGAGCTCTCTTTGTCGTCGCCAGATCCACGGATACGAACAGCAAGCAAGGGCACAGACGGCTTCTCCTGTCCACCCTCCCCTTTAGGAGCCTCCTCAGCGCTTCCTTCGACACTTGGAGGTTTTTCAGCTGGCTCGGGTCCGGGGCCACTGGGACCGGGTGCACCTTCTGATTCTCTCAACTGAACAATTCTGCGTGATTCGTCGGCAACAAGCGAGACAACGAAGTCCCGTTCGCTCTTCGTCCATCCAGCACTGGTCACTTTGATGCTCTCATCCACATTCAGGCCGCTACGAACCGTCAGCCTGCCGCAGTTACCTTCAACAAGTCCAGGCAGGGCTGCGCGGACACAAAAAGCTGTCACGCGGGTCCTCATGGCATCTCCAAAAGTAAGTGGCAACAAGCTCTACTACGAATTACACCTGATGCAACAAATTTGGGTATGCTTACTCGGACGTTGTTCCGGCGCATCTGCCCCATCGAGGACGCCAGAATCAGGAGAGAAGCTATCCCCGCCTGAATTAACAAGAGAGCAGAAACATGGGACCCAAGGTAGTAGCAAGCTTAAGATACATCTTGACCCCACAAGTGGACCGTGTTCCCCTTCAGAACCAAGATGAACCATCGGAATCGACACGATTGGGTGCCCATCTAGCGAACGCGCGAACTACAGAGTCCCGCGGCGCACAGCAGATAGTCATATAGATCATAGTTTTGCTCAAAGCCTTTGATTTCCCAGTAATGACGACCCCGTCATCAAAGGTCCCACAACGTACGGAGGCTTAAGAACTACCTCAACCAGCGGCCCCGTGGCAGGTGCCCCCCGCTGTTCTGTACACTAGCCCCGAGAATAGGCGCAAAGTAAGCTACCCAAATATGTATCTAAACATTTGTTTTACCTGGGACTTTCGTCCTAACGGCTGAGCTTGGAGGAAGGGAAAAAAGCAAGCCCAAAGCGACCAGCGACAGCGCTCGAGCCATTTTGAATGGGAATACAAAGAGAAATGAGGTTATGCAATGCAACAAAGAAAAAAATACTTTTTAAAAGCCAAGCAATTGCCAAAAAGCAAGGAGTAATCTTCGTTGCTGCAAATGATGGGAGCTTGAGTTGGAAAGCACACAGGGTTGTGCAGGTTTGCGGTCCGCTAGAGGCACAGTCAGTGGCTAGCACAATTGCACTAAGGAATCACGTGTTTTTATTTCTTCTTTTAGCATTCTGTAATATGACTATAATGCGTTGTACATTGTGGAGCCAGTATGAGGCTATTAATTTTTTGGGGGGCTTTTCTTGCTTTTCTGGGAGGCGCTCACCGGGGACCGCATCTGACCACGATGGCAACAGCAGCTTCACTGAACGCACGGGCTTGCAAGCCAACTCTAAGCAGTTCCTGGTATAAAACCTCACAGTAAGTAACACACTATTATGAAATGCTGGTAGGCATAAGAGAATCTGTTGCGGTTTTTGTTCTACGTGCTGATTGGATCCTAATTGGCTCCAAGACACACACGTTGGGCCGCTGGAGCAGCTGTATGTAACCGTCTTTCTGTAGCACAAAGCAGAAAAAGCACTATCTTCACTTATTTAACAGTCATTAACCGCATTCGTTCGCTGTTAATTATCCCTTCTAGTGGCAGCCATGTAACATTCCGAAGCACTTGATCAAGTGATCGCCGTGCTGAAAAAGAACAACTATTTATAGTGCGGGGCTCCATCCTGCTTTACATGGTGCGCATAAGAAAAATTCAGGGGCTGCTTAACTTAATAATAGCCTGATACAAATGCTGCATTAAGCGGCCACAGCGGCATTGGTGTCGGCACACGACCGGGATGAGACAAATGCGCGCCAGAAGCAAATACTCTGAATTATGAACGCTAAAACACGTGCAAAGGACTTTGATAGGTATAATAATTGCATGCATATTGCAAATAACTCTCAGACTGCTAGACGCTGGACCGGGAGTAACTGCACGGATTGTCGAACACACGGTCCATAGAAGGACACGTTCGCTCAATGGCACTGGCCTCACTGCCAGTTCCATCAAGCGACAAAGCCTACTTTTGAAACATAAGCGTCATTTTGGTTATGGATTAATAAGCTAGCTAGGAACTGAAATGAGCGAAAACACCACAAAACCGCGGCCGTTCGCTAAGCTGCTCATAGTCTGCTACTACAAAGGCGTAGCTGCACTTCGTGTCAAACAGAAACACAATAGTACTTTAAAAAACGGAAAACATTTGTTTTAGGGCAACTGGGGCAAGAAACCGTGGATCTTGCACCCCTTAGATTATTCCAGGGAATTTTGGGGCGGGCAAACTGTTGAGGGATGCTCGCTAGAGGCCTCGTTGCTGTGTTAACCATTACGAAACCTTCTTTTGTAGGTAACTAAAATGTGTCTAGTTGATGCAGCATCCCTCACATATAGCGGTGCCAGTCACACTGCGATTTTCGATGGTCTGCGACTGCACCTGTGATTCTGCAAGTGCCACGGTGCTTCCACACGAACCACTTTCGGTGAGCAATACGCAATCCACGTGGCTACACAGTGAGGTTGAAGCCTCGATATGCTGCGTCTTTCGAGCCGATATTGGAGCGAGCGAGGGGTCAAATCCTCTGTCCCACTCACGCTTTTAGAGCGGAGGCATCCCTTTACATATTCGCTGAAACAATTTAACCCGATGTCCCGTTTACTCCTTAAGCAGACAATAAAACTTTTCACTAATAGGACAATCGATTCCGGAATTTGTCGCTGCTCTGGTATTCCACGTGACTTCATTTCGCTCACCACCTGGTCGCCGTGAACTCTGATAACCTTGCCACCCTTGAACCGCGACTTGCGAAACGAGTTGCTCTGATGATGCATTATGCCACAAATAATGGCACAATGGTTGCTTTAGGGGGGTCATGATATAGTTTTGTGGGCTGAGGATGCCTCGAAAGGAATACAAGCTGAGCATCACAGCTGGGGGATTTTGAAAAACTGAGACTTCGTCAGCCTCCAGTCGTCTAATAAGAATATACACAACAGACAACGATAATGCAACTTTGTTTGACTTCATTTTGTTTTGCTGGTTCTAAGCAACTGCGAGGAGCATATTAAGCTATGCTTTGGCTTTGTCATGCCGTTATGACGATCCAGAAACCCTACGGGACAGATGCTTGTTGCTACGAGCGAGCAGTGAGGGCAGCTGCGAAGTGAGCTGATCCAGTGCAGCAAAATAAAGGGAAGAACCAAACAAGGGCTGCGGCGGAGTAGTATGAAGGCCTACTCCGCCGCGGCCCTTGTTTGATGCTTCCCTTTTGCTGCACTGGATCAGTTCACTTCGTAGCTGCCCTCACTACTTTTATCATTACTGGGGATGGCAAGCCTTCGGATATTTTGGGCCCATGAACTGCGTTGCGTGATAAATGCGCGGCGCATTCGAGCATTGACCGAAAGGAGAGTTGTAGTCTCCACAGGGCAGTGACGTCGCTTTTCCCAGCCTTCTACCATTGCCTAGCGCCAGGCCTTCTGCTCACTAGTACTTGTTCGCTGAGTGCCTCTACTACTTTAAACGAGCGCTCAATGCAGGTTTACAGCTGAGCACACGCGGGCTCACAACATAACTGTTATGCCAACTCTCGCTGCAAATCACGTTGTAGACAGACGCGTCGGAGGAATGAATGCCTTTTGTTTTCACTGTGGCAGTGCGGGTAAACGCACTGTCCTGCTTGAAACTGCCAGGATCAACTATCCCGAAGAGCCCGTTGTGGATGTCACGCCCCACTGCAGTGCTGAAACAAGCTTCCTTCGGCAGGCAAGAATCTCACGGCGTCTTCCGTAACCATTTTCCAGAGGCATGAGAACGATACGGATGACAGCGGCTATGGTCACACAAACGTGTGCCCTTTAGTCGACTTCGATGTCAAAATGTAGTTTTGGCTGCAGACGGAAAGCTGCTTGACGTTCCCGCTCCAATCCTTCACCGTCGTTCGTAAAACTGATTATCACAGACATGAAATACGTTTACACGAGTCGGAGGCCGTCAACTGGGGGAGTGTTTCAGCAGCCTTCAGAGCGCAAGCTTTACTAAGCAACGCTACGTCTAGTGGGCAAATGGCCTCACCCGAAGATCAGCTGAATTGGTCCGGCGTTGTAGCGCGAATAACCCTGAAGGTTGCCGCTTCCACGCAAGCGTAGTAAACTGGCTATAGACAGAGACGGCCGAAGTGAGATGCCCAGCCATGAACGGCTCTGCAAGCGCACATGTCGCTGCCTGGTAATACTTTTTACTTAAGCCTTGTAAAGCAGTCATCTATTGAAAAGCATATTCAAGTGTATGCGGGCAGTTACAATAAGTTGGCAATACGTTGACAGGGGGCCTGTGTGACAAAACTTCCACTCCACGAAACCTTGTAATATTATTCTGAAACATACCTGCTGCTGACGAAGCAACGAAGCAAGCGCTGACCTGGAAAAGCCCAGCGTTATAGCGGAGAAGTCCCTGGCAGCTTTTTGAAGGAGGAGCATATGAATATCAAGCAAGGAACTGCAGAGGCTGTGGCAAAGCCAGGCATCCCGACCCGACCTAGCCGAAGCCTCAGAGATATCTGACAGAGTTGGCTGCCACAGCGAGTTACCAGTCGCTGCCTGACTCTCAGAAACTGCATTTTTGAACTTCTTAACCATTTTCACAGCAACCGGGGGTAGTAGTTCTGTCAACTGTTCGTCCATTGCAGTTAGCACCTGAAAAGCCACGGCATTCACTCTGTGAATAGTTAACGAGCTGCATGTGTATCGACTTCATATTAAGGCTTGCCCCACAAGCTGAGAGTTAGCCAGCAGTGCTTCATGAATGCTCTGCACATTGTATTAGGTATGAAAGCAAATGCTCGAAGGACCTTTTTAACGATGCCTGGAGTGTGTGATCCGAAGGCACGTGCATCTTTCTGTAATGCAGCTACAAGCTCTGCCCGGAGCCTCAATCGCGCGCTGTTCTCTATGCGCAGAGCTTTCCTGAATTGCACAAGCCAAGCAGTGCCTACGTTCGTGCCTGCTTCCGCAGATTCACATCAATAAAAGTAGCGGCAAAAAGCAGACTATAATAAATCATATGCCGTATGAAACTGCGACGAGCAGACCGCGTGAGACCGCACCTGAGATACAGAATACGAAGCTCCTTTTCCAATGAACGCAGCAGCTCGTTGCGCAGTGTCTCCCGCTCCGGGGAAAGCTGAAAGCAACACATACTACTGGACCAACTGGCATGGAAACTGTTGTGGCCTCTGCTATATCCATCACGAGTGCGGTTCACCGAGGCTCCTTCCTACCTGGCATCGCCGGGTTTGGTAATCGTATAGCGCCAGTGCTTCTGAAAGAATGTTTTGAACTGTAGCACCAAACGATTTGGATGCTACATCCTGTTCCGCCTGGTATCGAAGCTCACGCAATCGTCCCTGAACAGCGACAAGGTAAAAACTGCAAATCAAGGCGTCTGTTCACCCAAGGGGACATGGGGTATCTCCTTTTTCTCCATTATTCAGGGCACGTTCTATTCGCTGGGCGACTAGAGCGCACCTTGACGAACGCCAATGATCGCCTAAAAGCCGCTGCGCTTGTAGTACAGGCGAGTGCACACCCGGCAAATTCCGTGGAACTCGGAGGAGCAGAACCGGGTTGTCTAGTCAGTAAATTCTCTATTGCGTCTGCAGAAATTTAGATCGGCACAGAGGATTCAATGACACAAGCGGCAACGCAACTTGCTTTATCTAATGCCGCCGCTACAGGCATAAGCTTCCCGCAGCCTCAAATATGGAAGAAAAAAGAACATTATCGCATTCAAGGGAAAAACCGAGCTCTGGGCCTGTACCTGCAATTTGTGTCTGTGAGGTATTCCGGGGAACAATTCCTCGCAACAAGGAATCCAGGACGTCTCGAGTAGCCTCTCCACCTCCATGCAATTGCAAGCCTATTACACTTACTTTGACTGCAGCACCGACAAG